ATGCTGAGGCCGCGTCCCACATACAGCAACTAGAAGGCTGTGCAACTATGACATACAACTATCTACTGGGGCTTTGGGGAAAAAAAAAAAAAAAAAAAAAAAAAAACTACTCCCCATATTACAGATCTTTCTGACAAGGAGGACCTGCTCCTCCAAATTGGGAACCATGGGACTAAGGAAAGCCCACTGCAGAGTCCACCTCGCTCAGATACTCCAGCTTCAGCCCCAGTGCTAGCCCAGCTGGTAAGCCCCGAGAGACCTCCACCTTATTCCACTACCTCACCTCTGTTCAAGCCAGAGGCTGTAACAGGGCCAAACCCTTTACTGTCTCCCCCGAACAATCCCTCTACAGGGAATTGGACTCTCCAACAAAGACCCTTCACCCTCCTCTTCCAGACAGTACAACTAGATTGAGAACCAGTTACAAACCTGAGATATATCCCCTAAGACAGATACCTGATGGTGAGGGGAGATTTATTAATGTGCACATCTCCTTGTCCACCTCTGATCTGTATAATTGGAAGGCACACACTAAAGGATTGAGGGCTGACCCAGAGGAGTTCATAAGCCTGATAAAGGGAAACTTCTCCACTCATAATCCAACCTGGGAAGATATTCAAAGCCTGTTAACTACACTCCTCACAGCTGAGGAAAAGTCATCTGTTCTGTTAAAAGCTAGGGAACAAGCAGATAATGAATATGACCCAGGACCAGACATTCACAAGCCTAGTGAACAGGCTGTACCAGGGACTGACCCTGGGTGGAATCCCAAGGATCCTGAAGATCAAGAAAAGCTAGGATATTTTCAGGGTTTGCTTTTGGAAGCCATGAAAATAGGAAGCCAGCCACCCATTAACTGGTCTAAATTAAGAGAGGTCCAACAAGGCCCTGAGGAAAACCCCTTCGCTTTTTTCAGAAGCTGCGGGACTTCCTCAGGTGATATACAAATTGGAACCCCAAGGCCCAGGGCAGTACACTGGTTCTTAATACCTATTTCATATCTCAAAGTGCTCCAGACATCCATAGAAAACTCCAAAAGTTGGGTATAGGTCCTGATACTAACACTGCACAACTAGTAGGGGCTACATCTAGGGTGTACAATAACCGGGATGAAGCCAAGGATGAAAAGGAAGACAAGAAGATAAAAAAACAAGCCGCCCTGTTAGCTGTGGCTCTCCAGTCTACTCAAGGTAACCCAAGGGAGAGAAGAAAGGCGCCATGGATGAGTGACCCCAGCCCCCACTGAGGGGCTGGAAAACCATCAACAAAGCTGGGGGCTAACCACTGCACGTACTACAAACAGGAAGGGCACTGGCGGCAGGCTTCTCTAAACTGTCCCCATAGAGGGAGGGGATTGAACAAGACCGAGCTGTGGCAACTTTCCTTGACTACAGATGAGATGTGATGGAGCCGTGGGGCTCCTCAGTTGGCTCCAGGCGACCAAATCCTCATCTCCCCCGAGGAGCCCTGGGTGACATTAACAGTGGGAGGAGAGCATGTTGAATTCTTGCTCGATACTGGAGCTACATTCTCAGTGCTGCATACCCAAAAGGGAGACCTTTCAAAAAGAAAGTGTGACATAAAAGGCGTATCAAGAAAAGGAGAGATCAAAAGGTTTCTGGAGCCCTTGACCTGTGAAGTGGGACCAAAATTGCTGAAGCATTCCTTTCTGTATGTACCAGAATGCTGTGCTGCCCTTCTAGGGAGGGATATAGTATCTAAGTTAGGGGCCTCAATAAGCTGGGAACAAGATAAAATGGAGATCCAAGTCTCCAAAAGTTGAGGAGTTGAGCTTATGGCCCTATTATAGGATGCGTCAGCACCTGAGAAGGAAGAGATTCCCCTAAATGTTTTAAGCCAAGTTAACTTGAAAGTATGGGCACAAAGACAGGTGGGGCGAGCAGCTGGTGCCACACCAGTAAAGGTAAAATTGAAGCAGATAGATCACTGGCTCCCCATAAAATAATATCTGTTGGAGCCAGAAGCCATAAGAGGAATCTTCCTGTAATTAATATGGTTTTAGAACAGGGATTGATCGGGCCACGTAGATCCCATGGAACGCTCTCATTTTACCCATTAAAAAAACAGGAACAGGGGAATATAGATTTGTTCAGGACGTTAGGGCTGTCAATGATGCTATCCAAGACATACATCCTGTAGTGCCTAATCCATGCACCCTGCTAGTTAACCCACATGGGGATAGCAGGTTCTATACAGTCCTGGATTAAAAAGATGCTTTTTTCTGCATCCCATTGGATCCTGAGTCCCAGGAGATATTTGCCTTTGAATGGGAGGACCCAGACTCCCACCAGAAGCAACAGTATTGCTAGACTGTCTTACCCTAAGGGTTCAAAAACTCCCTCACTATCTTTGGGGAAATCTTAGGCCAAGATTTACGGGAACTAAAATTAAAACAGACTACTGTGCTACGGTATGTGAATGATATCCTAACAGCCAGCCCTACCAAGGAGATCTCCGATAGAAACACTATAATTATGCTGAACTTTTTAGCCAGTAAGGGATATAAAGTGTCTAAAAGGAAGGCACAAATATTTAAAGAGACTGTAAAGTATTTGGGGTTAATCATTTCAAGGGGACAACGTAGCCTTCCCCGGGAGAGGAAAATGGTAATATGCTAACTTGCTCCACCAACAACTCATAGGCAGCTAGGTGGATTCTTGGGGATGGCTGGTTTTTGCAGCATTTGGATCCCTAACTTTGGATTAATTGCTAAGCCTCTCTATGATAAACTAAAGGGGCCCGAAATGGACCCCTTTGAATGGGATAAGCTATGTGACCAAGCTTTCATTAAGCTTAAAAACTTGCTAATGGAAGCACCTGCCCTGGCCTTACCAGACCTGAGCAAAGAATTTGACCTATATGTTTACGAAAGCCAGGGAATAGCTGTGGGAGTGCCAACCCAAATGTTGGGACCCCTAAAAAGAGTGGTGCCTATTTCTCAAAACAGCTAGACACCGCGGCAAAAGGATGGCTCCCATGCTTGAGAGCTGTAGCTGCCATCTGCCTTTTAATCCAGAAAGCAGAAAAACTGACTATGGGCCAACCTACGGCAGTGTGGATCACCCATCAAGCCTCTGGCCAGCTAGAGACTAAAGGACATCTCTGGCCATCCCAGAATAGAATACTACAATATCAAGCCATGCTGCTAGATTCCCCTCAGATTTCCTTAAAGCCCTGACATACCTTAAACCCAGCTACCCTGCTCCCTGATTCCAATGGGCCTGTTACCCATGCTTTCCCAGAAGTGATTGATCAGGTTTACTCTAGCTACAGAGATCTCCAGAGTGAACCACTGCCTAATGCAGAGGAAGTATGGTTTGTAGATGGGAGCAGCTTCAAGAATAGTGGACAAAGAAGAGAAGGTTATGCAGTAGTGTCTCTGCATGCAACTGTAGAGGCCAAGGGGCTGACACTAGACACCTTGGCCCAAAAGACAGAAAAAATTGCATTAACCAGAGCTTTGGAATTGGTAAAAGAAAAAAAAATAACAATATACACAGACCCTAAGTATGCTTTCTCTGTTATTCACCCTCATGGAGCCATTTGGAAAGAAAGAGGACTCTTTAGTAGCAGCAGTAAAGAAATTAAACATGGGCCAGAGATCCTTAAACTGCTGGAAGCAGTACAGGGCCCCAAGGCAGTAGCTGTGGTCCATTGTAAAGGCCATCAAAGTGGGGAATCTGAGGCGATAAAAGGGAATAACTTGGCCGCTGCAGCTGCCAAAAGGGCCGCTATATCAGGAGAGCTTCTCCAATTGCCATTAATTCCCACTCTACCCTTCTATGAGTTTACACCAGTGTATTCCCCTGATGGAGTAAGGGAAGCCACGACACAGCGTTATCAGTGGTCCCCAATAGTTAAGGGCTGGATGATGAACACACGAGGGAAGATTTGGGTCCCCAAACAAACAGCTTGGGGGCTCCTTAAGAGTGCTGATGATCATACCCATTACAGAAAAGAGACCTTACACCTATGGCTGATGAAGGTCATAAGCACCCCAGGTATAAAAGAACTTATTGAAAAAATAACTGGACAATGCAGTTATTGCCAGAAGAATAATGTACAAACCAGACCTCCTGTACCTCCCCTGGCCAAAGTAACTCAAATTTGGGGAACTTTACTGGGGAAAGACTGGCAAGTTGATTTTACTGTTATGCCCACGGCCCCTGGAGGGTACAAATAGCTCTTGGTGTTTGTGGATATATTTACTGGATGGATTGAAGCCTTTCCTTATAGGCCAGAAAGGGCAAATGAAGTAACAAAAGTGTTGTTAAAAGAAATAATTCCCCATTTTGGGTTCTCTAGATCAATTCAGAGCGACAACAGGCCAGCTTTTATATCAAAAATAACCTCTGAAGTAACCAGAGTTTTAAAAATTAAATGGAGGCTACATGCCTCATGGAGACCACAGTCGTCTGGAAAAACTGAGCAGACAAATCAAACTTTAAAGAAAACCCTGGCTAAACTGTGCCAAGAGACACAGGAAAAATGGCTAAAACTACTGCCAATAGCCCTCACTCGGATAAGGGCAGCTC